TCTTGAAGCAGCTTCAGTTACTAATAACTCCAGTTTCACACCCAGCTGTCTCTTCACCTCCTTCTCTGCTCACGATGGAGAGTAATTTTAGTCTCAGCACTAAAACTGGTCATCCTTCCACAACCGCACTCAGTTCCCGAGAGCATCTTAAAAAGGCTACATAGTGACTGTATGTACATGTATTACACAATCATCTGACGGACTGTCAGGTGTGGGTTTGAAACAAACTGCTTAGCTAAATCCACTGCTTCATTTTGCTCCCTGTGTGCCACAGAGGCAGTGAGTTAGATTGTGAAATAATGAGGACCTGTGATCATGGCTGCAGCGTAACCCTTTAAATGCAGACATTGCACATCGATCCAGCCTGCTCATGTCCACAGGCACAGATTCAGGATTGCTCTGATGGTCAGGGTGAGACAGTGAGCTGCTCAGACTGGGATTTAATAAAGATTTCGACTCAGTTATCTGAAATAAGCCAAACTGTGCCTTTCAGCTCTTGTACAATGGCCATAAAACAAAACAAAGTCCTTACACTGCCAGAGATTGCTCACAGAGGAGAATACATCTTCTCTCTTTTCCTAAACCGCTACAGAGACGCAGATTTGTTGTTTTCATCTCATCACGAGGTTCCACTTGAGCTTCATTTAACACTTTGCTGTCAAGTTGACAATGCAGTGCTACCTTACAGGAGGTGCAAACAAAGGCAGCGTGATTGGCTTCTTGAGGACAAGGGTGCTGTACCCCATGTTGCTGCATTAATATTACATAAGGCTCACGGTGCACATGCACAGGCTCACATACTGTATGCAGGCAAAGAGCTAAATTTTTCAACATCAGCATTTTCTCTGACAAATAGGTTGTGTGACTGTGAGGTGTGGTCCCAGCAGAACAATGATGAAAACATTTGCAAATGCAAAAGCAGAGACAATCTGAAATGGGAGAAAGTAATTTAACAAAGGCTCTGATGTTGTAATAAAATAAGGGTTACATTTTAGGTCTCACCACATTTCTGGCATCTCATCATCTGTTAAGTTACCAGTTAGCAGAAACAATGAGTATTTGCACAGTTTATCAAGACAGTGTACTTCTACTGATGTGGGAAAGTATCACAGACCGAGCTTGTGTAGGAGGGCTGAACGATTAATCAAATTCAGATTCAATATTGCGATGTAATAGAATACAGTCTTCAAATAGCAGAAACTGTGATTTTTTAAAATGCTACACAATCTAACCAAACAGAGGATCTGCCCTGTGGGCTTCATGTGCACACATGCTGCACTACGCTTCATGTGACATATGCGAATGATGAAGAAAACAACTTATAGGGTGCCTGGTAGCTCACAAGGTAGAGTGTGCACCCCATGTAGGCTGAGCAATCATCATGTTTATATATTACATATTTGTTAAGAGCAGCCTGGCCTCTTTAAGATTGTGTGCATAATGAGTGTGAAAAAGAGAGACAGAAAAGAAGGATATTAGCAGAAACATGCTCAAGCAGTAGTTAATGTATAGTGTAGGTTTCAGTTTGTCTGTGAATAAACGCCGCAGCTCCTAAAGAAAAGTTAATATCCTGTGTATTACTTCCCAACTGCTGGGTAAAGTGGTAAAGTAAAGCCCCGAAGTGAGCATCAATGTCCCAACAACAGTTTGGAGGCTGAAGCAGGAATGGTTAACAACATCTTCACAACGAGACTTCGAATTATGTAAATATTTTAGAGAGGTAGAGCCATAGTCAGTGTGCACTTTAGTTTGAGTGTGATACTGTTACTGACAGGAGATCAGTTAGATTCATATTTATTATAGAAGATAGAGGAACAGGGCTCAACAATAAGGATTGCCCGATTGCCCAGGGCACGTAAAATGCTACGTCGGACAAGTAAATCTTAGCCTGGTAAAAATTATGCTGATGGCGTCGGCTGTATCAGTCTGGACTCGTTGCTCCCCCAAACACTTTCCAGAAATTTAAATCCAATCAAGGCCAACAGCGTAGTTGACAACGTAAGCAGCAAATCAGGGACTGTGCTGTAGTTGATGATGTGAAATGCAGGCCACAGCTTGCAGAACAGTAATGGCGGCTCCCAAAGCAAAAGGCACTAACCCTAACATTGGTAAATAAGCTAAGTTATTGCAGAAACCGAGTCAATAACAACAAATAAACACACACAAAAGTATGCACTTGTGGAGTTTCTCAGAGGAAAAGATATTTTCGCTTTTCCTCTGACTGGATTTGGCAAAAGCGTGCTTCATTAACTGGCTCTGTTGGTGATGAAGAACATGTTCCCCAGTGTTTTGTTACAATGAATGGCTGAAGGAGTGCCACCCACTTAGAGTGTTTGGGGAAGCATCGAGTCCAGGCCGATAAAGAGAGTCAAACAGAATGTTGAGCTCATGTCATCAGGATGGTCTTGACAGGCTAAGTAAATCTAGCGCCTCACTTGACCAATCAGGCGAGTGGTAAAACGGAATTAAACACATTGTTTTTCCAGAGCTGATGACAGAGGTAGCTAAGGAGTGAGCCATCTCATTTCCTTCTCATCTCTGTTGAGAGCTTCACATTAACAGTGCCGACTCACCATTAACTTTGTTGTTATGTGATAACCACAAAGAACCACGTACGTAGACTTCCATTTATAGATAGTATATGTATAAAAAGCTTTTACTTTAAAGTGGGAAAACAATGCTGTGGCATCAAAATGTGACAAAACAACAGTATCACCACATAACATTCAGACAACGGCAATTTGATCTGGTGAGTACACCAATTTACAACTCTGACGGACCGGCGACCTCAGATTCACTGTAACACTTGGGGGAGGCTGGCAACTTAGTGGCACAACCAGGCAGCTGTCCCACACACCCACACAGACAGATGAAGGCTGTAAGTGTGAATGGAGGAAGGAGAGGGGAATTAACAGGCAGCTCTGCAGCATAGAGAAAGGCTCTGGTGTAAGTCCAACAGGGACAGTAGAGCAAAGCTCAGAGGACCAGGCTTTAGTTAATAAACAAGGGCCCCTTCAGGCTCTCTCAAAGGAAATACACAACCCCTTTTACACCACTCACTATTATCTGTACAGTGAGTATTTCATATACACTGCAATCTTTGTGGTGCTTCTGGTAAATATGACTGCAGTCTGTCTTAAACCTATGATGTTTCTTTGTGGTCTGCAGTCTGGTTATGTGAGAAAGGATGTGAGCAGTTGTCTTGCACTAGCTTCTATGTGAACTGCTATTCTTTTTTAACATTTGTAGAACGCAAAGTTTCTCTGTCATTATCTGAAAAGCAATAACATTGAGAATACGGTATGTTCTTGGTAAGGAAGCATGTACTTTTTTTGTACTTTCCCACTCTGAGGCGCACACTGGGACAGCAAACAAAAATAACTGCAGCTTGGGGGTGGACGTAGTATCAACTGAGGAATGACGGTGACACCCATTTCTGAATGCCACAGTGCATGCATGTGTACGTTTGTGCATTAGTTCGGTCCTTCTTATTGCCGCACCATTGAGCTAAATATGCCTCAGGCTTTGTCATTAGTAAAAGCAAACATGAGATCACAGTAATAAGTCATCTAACTGAGGCAGGCTAATTCTAGGCTGCTCCACAGTTTGCTGCAGTCATCTCCGACATTAAGTAACTGAATAACATGAGCCACGTAATAATCTTGCTCATGTTAAAAGCCTTTCCTTAACAAATATGAGAGACACTTCTATCCAGAGAAGATAAGTGGACCCACGTTTTAGTCTGCGCCCACATAGAGCCACCTTACACCCTGAGTCACCTTCAACCTTCTCCTGGTGTCAAATTATGGCTGCTGACAGATACCTCTGGCAAGGAGATACCCTATGGAGCAGGGATTTCCCCATAACTGGAGGGCTGATGAAACACACTGGAGCAATGCCTGATCTGAACAGGGCGTAACTCGATCCAACCTAAGTCATCCGGCCTGGAAAAGATCTGTTCTAATCAGTATGGCAGGCGGATATCAATTAAATCAATATCATAATATATATATGATTATTTTTTCTGATTAATATATGTTAAAAAAGGGCTGAATGGTTTGGAGAAAATCAAATATTGCAACATTTTTGACCAAATGCCTCAATACTGTAGAATTGACTATTGGTGCATTCAAAACATATTTACAATGACACTGTCCATAAGTAATCATCACTAATTTGGATACAATGGCTAGGTTGGTTAAGGCATAATAGAAAAGATAGAACAGTCTGGTAAGTTCACCACATTACTTTACCGTAATGTAGCCTTTAAAACCAGGAAAAGACAACACTTACAATATTTTAGCATCCAAAATCTAAAACGGCATCTAGTCTCATATCACAATATCAATATAATATCAATATATTGCCCAGGAATATGTTACAAAGGTTTGCAAAATCACTTTCAATCAAATTTCACTTCAATACAATTGACTGTCTTCTACTGTTATGTAAGACATCGTAACTCTCTGCAGACATGTAAAACAAAAGCTTGTTTTGTCCTTTAGATTACAATAAGCTTGAAATCATTTGGACATTCTCTGGTTTCATCTTCTAAACTGGGAATATTTACTGGTATTCACCATTTTATTTAATTGTAAACTATTGGTCAGAAAAACCAAGACACCTGAAGATGTCACCTTGGAAACTATGATGGACATTTTTCACCAGTGTGAGCATCGTGAAGACATGTAAAGGTCATTTCCACTATTTTTCGACTATTTGAAGAATAAAGAGTTTATTAACTGATAATTAACTAATCAATAGTTGCACCCATAGTCACTTTCATTACCAAAACAACATACTCCAGATTGACTGGCGTGTAACTAATCACCAGCTGAGCAAATAAGCTTTATTGAGTCAATCAATTGATTATCAATAACCACTCAACTAGAACTTAATCATGAATGACAGCAGCCTATACATTACAAAGAAACAACACAGCGGCAGGACAAGTCGGGCATGTACAGTACAGTTTCTGTGCTGCTTCATTAGAGAGGAGCGGCTCTGAGCATGACCTAACAGGCTGGCTGGACGACATTCCTACAAGCCCCGGGGTTCGCGTTCCTCCCAAACAGCAACGTGAGGCACAGCTTCAACTGTCTTCCATTCAGTGTCTACACAACAACAAGAACAAAAATCCTTGGAGGAGAGTGTTCAGCGGGTTGCGACATCACTTTATGTACGTTCTTAATGGTCTCTAATCTGAAACCAGGTATGTAACCTTCTTAAAACATGCAAGATATTAGTCAGTTTTGATTCAGTGACTAAACACGAGTGTGCGGACATGATGATGAGCACTTTGAGCAGCATGTTGCAGAGGGATGAAGTGGACCAAAAAGAACATACAGTAGTTGCTATATGGTATCTTCCATTAACGCTCTGAGCCCACTGGAACTTTTCATTATTCATACATGTCTATTTAGGATCATCTAAATGACTTTCTATCTTTTCTTTCTCACTATGGTCCCTTCACTGAAGATTAATCCACCCTCTATGGGTAAAAACATTGTATGTGTTTACAATAAATATATACATCCCTCAAGGACACAACAAGGTTATATCATATGAGGATTTTCAAGGCTTTTCTATAGTTGATTTGTCGTTATTGCTTTGGTATTATGCAGCTCTGGCACAAAATGATATTATAAGAGAGACTAGACTAAATGGTCACAGCTGACAAAATTAATTTTAAAACATCTATTCAGAGAGGTACTGTGCCACAGTGCTTAGAGTACAGTTGTGGGTAAGCCAGACATTTTAATTAAAACTGCATACTGCAGGTTAAATTATGTTCAAAACATCAGCCATCCTCACATTTGAGGTTAGGTGCAACAAAAACAAGAACTCAAATTGAGCGCGCACTGTTTTGCCGCCACAAACAAACCACCCAATAAGCCATTTAGCAACCTCACTGTGCTTTGCCGCAGTTGCTGCTGCTACTGCGCTGATAAGCTTGCTTCATGACAGCAGACAGGAAGCTTAATACACAGGCCAGATGAGTCAAAACCCTACTACAGTGAGCAGGGTATACGTCACCGAGCTAAAAACAATGCAGTGTGCAGTGTCTCCCTCTCATCTCTTTGTTAGTTAAGGTCAGTCTGTCGGTGGAGCTGCCTGCTGCCAGACCCAAAAAAGTCAGTGCTGGCTCTTGTCTGTGATCCAACAACAATGGCCCCACAACTAGGTCAAAATGATGGAAAGAAAAAAATATTTTCTTCCAAACATAAGGCATGGGGACTTAAGTTAAACAGTAATAAGCTGTAACAATACTTACTTAAAATGCTGGGTAAGAATGGTCTGGCACATAGTGTCCTAAGTCATTTCCCCTACCTTAGGTATGAAAAGCCTATAACATGCGCTGGTGATGATAGTTTCTAGAGCCAGTTAAAGCAAAATCTATAAACATTACTCATGTCAGCCAATGCACCAGTAAGATGACTGGTACAGCACTTTGTACTCCCCAACAGTGGAATCAAACTGAAAAGTTAAAAGTCTAGTTGAACTTGATAACACAACAATACATATTTCAAAGTGAACTGGAGTACGTGCAAAACATTAACTTCTGGTTTAAGCAAACTACACATTAACTGTCCTGATTTGTGTCATGTTTCCCTTTGGACATTTTTGGTTCACAGCAGGAAAATATATTGCCTTCCTCTATCTTATAAATAGCTAAATATTCTAGTTGTTCAACCATCAAGTGAGGGTCAGGTGTACTATAAAAAGCGTGGACCAGTTAATAGGACCAATTAAAGCCCCGTGGCTTTTATCAAAGAAAGGCATGACATCATTTTCAGTTTTCTCTTCAGGAGTGGCAGTATCATTGCAGCTAGCTTATGATAAGGTTCATAAACAAGACAGACTGACTCCACAGTCTCTTGTGGGTTGTAAGCTGTCCGTCTGCACTGACAGCTCTAAAGAGATCAAAGCACTTAAGAAAACTACTGCCTCTTCCCCTCGTCATTTTTGGTGGTTTAAAGGTAAAATGCAATAAAAAAAAATAAAGGCGGGGTGCTATACGTTTAGCTTTAAGTAGAAAGGTAACCGTTATGGGTTTCTACACAACGTTTTAGCATTACACATCCACTGTTTTGCTAGCAAATGCAGCTAACAGTTGGTCATTTAACCAGGCCTATTTTTCTCTAAAAGCCACTCCAACACCTGTCCTGCAACTCCTAAAGGCATCACGCAAGTTTAGTGGTTTCAGTCACAGTAGAGAGGTCGCAAAACAGCCGTCGTGCAGTCGGGTCAGGGGGGCGCTGCAGCTCCTTTAGCTCCTGAGCTAAAGCTAACAAGCTAGCATAGTAACCAGAACAATCAAACACAGGAACTCAGCGCGAGTTACAAGAAATGAGCTGCGCTAGGGCCATTAATATATGGCCGAGTATACATAAAATGTGGTAGTTTTCACCTGTAATTCGGCCCGCTCCACCTCCCATTGTGCTCTCTCTACTTCGAAACGGGCCCATTCGTGCTGCAGGAAGTGCAAGATCCCCGGGATACTGTACTGCGCCCTAGCCGCCTCCCCAGCGTCGCCATCGGGCAGCGGTCCTTTCCCACCGCCGGGTAAAACAGAGTTGTTATTATTGTTGAAGAACACGCCGGGCCCCGCCTGTTCGTCCATGGCCGGGCTCGGTGGAAAGGTCTGTCCGTTGTCTCGCTGAGTCGTGGCGGTAGATATCAACGGAAGGGCAAAAACCTATCGACTGCGCTCTGTCTCCTCGGCTCGAGGGAATGAACTCACTTTCTGACAGCTAGCTGTCAGTGGATGACGTCAGTAGCCGCGGCCACGCCCACAGCATGTTGGCTGGGGGCGCTCGATTCTCTCACCCAGAGTGGCCAGAGAAACATACTCTCCTTCTTTTACACATTTTACCAGAGAAGTAGCATTATGTTATAGATCCTGTATCAGCATTTATACTTTGTCTAATAATAGAACAATCAAATACAAATATTAATATTAATCAATAACAGTAAAACAAGTAAATACAAACAGACATGCCAGGGGACAGTGTACATATGCAAAGCCAGAAGACAATATTCATTCATGGAAACACATTAAAAAGATGCACAAATTCATCGTCTTAATGGATTTCTTGTTTTTTGGAGGAGTAAATGGTTTTCATGTTTTGCTTGGTGTCATTTGGTTTCATTCATTTTCAACTGTAATAAATGAGGATATAGAAATATAGATTAGATTTGTGGGTATGGGATTTTGCCACAAAATATTAGAATAACAATATAGCATTCTTGATTTTACTGCTGCGAAATCAAACAAAACATTTTCTAGGCATAAAGTGAAATCAGGGTCTGTAATATCAATAGCAAATCTACTCCAGTCCTCCCAAAGCCTTTTAGTATGAGTACACTGCCAAAACAGATGAACAAATGTTTTGGGTGTACTACACTGGATAAACAATGTCCTCTTTTAACTTAAGATAATGATAAGCTGGGTAATATCTGTGTACAATATGTTAATTCCAGTTGTTCTTCCAATTAAGGTAAAGCTGTTCCAGTAAGTAACCACATAGGGAACAGAGACAACATCTTTCTGAGATAGATGACGTATCCTTCTCTTGTTATTTTTGCTCGATAAGAAGCATATCTGACTCACATGAGAATCAGCTGGATTCAGCGCTGGAGACATAGGTCTTTGTTTTGTTGCATCTTTCAACAGCATTATGACCACATAAGGGATTGCATCTATGACTAAGGCACGCTCCTTTGGAGTTACTGGTGTACCAAATTTGCTGAGGAATTGTGAGTCGCTAAGTAAATCTCAATTGTCCTTTAACTGGCTCACCAAGATATTATTTATGATCCATTTCGCATTAATAGAGATTTGTTTTTATATAGTAGGTTTCTATTGTCCCAAATGAAGTCTTTATTTAAAAAAAACTGTGTTTAGCCAAGGCCAAAATGTGTAACAAAGACATCAGCACAGTGAGGTCAAAGTAACTTTATTCACATTTCAAAGAAATGAAGGTGCAGTGTAACATAGCCATTTCAACAAATCTGCCAATGTATGAAGGAAGCTGACACTCACTCACTCATGTAGCTATTACACATAAGCAGATTTGGATCAAAAATCAGTTATTGGCAACACAACCGTCTGTATGATATGCAGCACATAAATTAAATGATGTAGTATCCCCCCCATTTATCAACAGACTAATTAACTGTCTCTGTGAGAATTACAATTTCTGCCCCCAAACAAGTTGAAAACATAATGCATTTATTATTCAAAGGGCTCTACTAAAATCTCATTCTAGGCTCAAATTAACAATCAAAAGGTGATTTTCTCAGTTGTGTTTAAGAACAAGTAGCAGGAAGGTTTACAGAATAATTTAAGAGAAAATCGCCTCTTCAAACAAGGAAACAAAAAACTTAAAAAAAAAAAAAAAAACAACCCAAAAAACATCTGTAACAATCAGCAGACCCTAAGGTCATATACTAAACCAGGTCCATTAAACAAACATGCATGATTGGAATCAAAAGGAACAAATAATAACTGCCATGTTCACAGTGATGTAATATCACAGAGAAAAGTGGCACAGTAAACATCAGCTTTTGGATAGTGAGGGATACGAACAGACAAAAAAAGTAAATTGTGTCCCTTTATAAATGCAATGATACATTCACACAATTTCCTACAGATTTTAAAGTGAGTTTTGTTTTTAAAGTTAACATTCAAAAGCTTTTTAATATTTACATAATTTCCTTCTTGACTTAAAGAGAAGTTCTCATCCATCAAAAACAAAAATGAGATGTAGAATAAATAAATACACTTCATAAACTGTGGCTGACGCAGACATGACATGTGGTTCTCTGTTGACAGACAACAAAACAGACCTAAAACAATAACATTAATTCAGGCTGTGAGAGTGTGCAGTGCATTTTGGAGAGTTCAGAAGAAGCTCTTCTTGAGTTTGATGGTCGGTGCAGCCTGCACAGTCGGCTGAGCTTGCCTGGCTGCAGCTTTGGCTCTGCTGCTGGCCTGGTTGGCCCGTATAGCAGATTCCAAACGGATTTTAAGCTCAGGTGCTGCACCAATTACTATCTTGAAGGCAGCTGGATAGAGGGGGCCAATCCGCATTAAGTTCTGAAGGGCGAAATCATGCAGGCCTTTGGAGACTTGGGGCGCAGAGGAGATGGCATTTTCATCCAGAAGGTAGGAGACGAGAGTTGGTACAAGAAGAGCCAGCAACTGCACCCCTATTAAACACATAATAACATGAGACCTTAAAAAACATAATCACTAACAGCAAAACGACTTAGATCTCAGTTAAGCATGGGGAGAGTTTAACTGCACTTCCAACACAAATGGAAGCGAAGCCACAAATCCAACTCAGGAGACCACAAGACAGTGTTTACCAAAAGCCCCTGACAGATCAATTCACCATACTGTCGAATGTGTCTCAGAATACGCCAAAGTAACATCAAAGCAACCAGGATCAGGTATGTGTATCTCTATATCTGCATGACAATATATATGTATTAAGTAAGTAACAACTGAGGGATGCTAGAAGCACAGTTTTGCATCAATAATTTATACGTAGTAGACAAGATGTGCCAGATTTGAGAGAGGAAATGGACACGTTTTTTTCTTGGTTCCCTATAAGCCTTTCACGATACTCTGTCCGCCACCAGGTACCATCTCCTGGGAAAATGAAGGCTTGATTTACTGCACAAAGGAAGTGTGTCAACCATTGTGCAACCAAAACATGAAAAAGACAGTGCTTTTGTTTTCCCCAGTAGCCATCGCTAGCTGTCCTCAATGGGCCTTTTTCACAGCAGACATTTTGACTTGTCACAGTAGGGAAAGCACAGGTAAAACTGATAACATTAACAACGGCTCAGTCCCATTAAATGTCCCTGTATGCTGTTCCACTGAGCCAGCATGCACAATACCAGGGCCTCCCCTAAGTGGAATCCAGCTGTCATTACTGTTATTGAATACGACTGTGATTTTCCTGCTATGAAATGTCAAAATGTCTGCTGTGATAAGGGTCCATTGCCTAGGAGTGTCAATGTAAGTTCTTTGCAGTTACTATCCACAGTAGCAGAAATGGCAGATAGTGGAAAAACCAAAGTAACTGTGAAAACTCTACCTGTAAAAGGAAAAAGAGCCCCGTTAAGAGAGGAAGTAAAGTCGGTAAAAAGGGAGTGATAACAACTGAGGTAAAGCAAGAGTGAACATCCGGCAGGCTTTCAGTCAATGGAGAGAGCTGCTGGACTGGAGAGGGTTACTATCTGACAGTCAGTTGGCATTCTGTCTGCTAAATCAATAAGTAACAGAACCTGCCTACTTATCAATATTATCTATTAATGTTGTTAATGTGTTGTTTGTAGTTGCTAGGCTCTGAGAAAAATGGAATCCAGTTGTCTTTGCGATAGTGGTGCCAACAACACATTTGGAAAGGCTTGGAGAGGTTGAAAAGATGTCTGTTTGCACTAAAAGAAATAAACTGACATATACACTGGATGGACAGAAACTATTTATGGGTCATGAAATGCAAGATGATCGACAGAAAATGTTCTTAATTGCCTAAAATGACCAAACTCTGGTGCCAGTTTCACCAGACTGAAGATTTGCTGCTTTTCCTTGTTCCTTTTTACTGACAATACAGCACTTATTATTGTTTATTGTTGTTGTTTACTCTTATTGAATACTGTTGGTTGGACAAAACAAGACTTCTGATGGATATTTTTTACTGATTGCTGTCATTTTATAGGGTAATGGATTAATCAAAGTAAAAATCTGCAGATGAATTTGTAACAGAAACAATCCATAGTTGCAGCCCTAAATATGCAATGCATAGCACAAGCTGCATCTCAAACAAAAATAGTCTGAACACCAAACATGGAATAAACTATGAAATCAATCAACTTTCTGTGAGTGTGCAGTGTTTTTTGCATTACTAGGGAAATAAAAACTAGAGGGTGCATGAACAGGAGAAACAAAACACAAAATGTATAATTTAAATAAATAATATAGAATATCTAATATAGCATAATGTTGGAATCAATAGTGAAATTGACAGTAAACCAGTGCAGGGGTTCTAAATTTAGCATTTAATGCTCTACTGCTCCGATCTTTGACAGCACACGTCCAAAGGCACTGAGCTAAATACTTTAAGAGACCTACTTTAACGGAGCTAAACGCTTTAATGGAACAAATACAGTACTTTAGTGGTCCATTAGGCAAAGGCGTACTTACGGTTCTGCTCTTCACCCATGCCAACCAGATTCTCTAAGACCCTGATGCCCTCCTGCACAGCCTGCAGCTCGGCAGCAGTCCCTGGCCGACTGCGCTCCACTGCCTTCAGCTTCTCCACCATGAGTGGAGCAAGAACGTGGATGTACGGAGTAGAGAGGGCACGGCTGGAATGCTGAAACACTGACAACAGCAGCTGGTAACATCGTGCTTGAACCTGTGGTAAAAATGAATCACTTAACTTGGTGGAATCTGGAAAACACTTTTTGACGGGGCATTCAAAATTTGTCCAGGTTGAGATTCTCATACTTCAGCTGTGTTTGTACACACAGATACTTACCCAGGGATCACTAGAGTTGAGGGCATTTCGGAAGCGGTCCATGCAGCCCTTCTGCAGGACGGTGACTCCTACAAGTTCATTGCTGGCTGACAGCAGGAAGAGTGTGATCGCTGTTAACATGCTGACCTCATCCATGTCAGGCCTGGACTCATCTTCAGTCGCACACAAACAAACAATGTCATAATTTTTTGCCCCC